AAACGGAAGTGACAGAGAATAGAAATCAATGAAATAGACAAATTAGATAATGAAGAAAGTCAACAAAACCCTTAGTTCTCTGAAAAGATAAAGGAAAAAACTAAAGAGAAACAAGAATTATGAACATCAGGAATGAAAGAAGTGATGTCACAACGAATATTAAAGGATGCTTACTAAATAATTATTAAATTCTAATCACTGATTACTAATTATTATGAACAAATATTTACATAAAAATCTGGTAACAGATAAAATGAACAAATTTTTTTAAAATACAAATGACCTGAAACTACACATTAATAAGTAGAAAATATGAATGGCCCAGTATCTGTTAAAGGAATTGAGTTTGTAATTTAAAACCTCCCACAAAGAAAATTCCAGGCAGAGATGGCTTCATTGGTGAATTATACCAAATATTTAAGGAAGGTAATGCTGATTTCACATTAACTATTTCAGAAAATAGAGAAAAAAAAACACTCACCAAATTATCTTAAATGACCATTATATCACTGTTACCAAAGCCTAACAGAGACACTACAAGAAAATTATAGGCCATTATCAATATACAAAAAGGAAAACACATCAGGACCACAAGGGGGCTACCCCAAAATTGCAAGGATGTATCATTCAAAACTGAATCAATTTAATTCCTTCACTAACAGAATAAAGAAGAAAACCCATATGCAATCATCTCACATGAAGAAAAAGCTCAAAACTCATTCATAGTAAAACTTTTAAACTAGGAACAGAAGGGATCTTCCTCAGACTTACAGCCAGCATCAAACTTAATGTGGCATATTGAATGCTTTCCCCCTAAGAGAACAAACCAAGAATTTCTATATTCTTACCAGTTTCATTCAACATTGTAATTCAACACTGTACTGGAAGATCTTAGCCCAAACATTAAGGAAAGAAATAGAAATAAAAAACAAAAAGATTTAGAAATGAAGGAATACTCTCTCTGTTCACAATCTGACTGTAAATGTAGAAAAACCTCAAGAAATTTTTTAAGAAAAGCTTCTAGAGCTATGAAGTCAGTTTATCAAGGTGGCAAGATACAATGTCAATATTTAAAAAATAATTTGTATTTCTATATATTAACAATTGGAAAATAACATTTTAAAAAGTACAGTTCAGTACCATTAAAATATTAAATATTTTGGATTAAATTTAACAAAATAAATACAATAGCTCTACTGAAAACCAAAAATCATTGCTGAGATAGGTAAGACATTAATATTTTCAAGTGTTGCAGAGATTCAACACAATCCTAAAGCCTATAGTCTTTTTTTTTTTTTTGTAAAAACCTAATGAGTTGATCCAAAAATTTACATAGAACTGAAAAAGATCTAAAACAAGCAAAATAATCTTGAAAAAGAGAAAGTCAAATTTGGAGAATTTACCCTACCTGATTCAAGTCTTACTATAAAGCTATAGTAACCAAGACGATGTGGTAGTCTAGGGATAGACAAATAGATCAAATAAATAAAATTGACCCACGTATAAACAGTCAATTGATTTTTCAAGAAAGGTACCAAGGCATTCAAGTGAAGACAGTCTTTTCAACAAATGGTACTGGAATAACTGGGCAAACATGTGGAAAAAATTTCTCCATGTCTACCTCTACCTCATACATACAGACAATTAGTTCTACATGGATCATAGACTGAATTATAAGAGCCAAATCTATAAAGCTACTAGAAAAAGATAGGAGAATATCTTTGTGACCTTGGAGTAGGCAACTATTTCTTAAGATGCAAAAAAACCTTAACTATAAATGAAAAAAAAGAAGAAGATACACTGTTCTTCATTAAAATTTTATATGTTTGCTTATCAAAAAAAACATAAAAAGCAAACCACAGCCAAGATGAAAGTATTCACAATACACAAATCTGAAAAACAATTTATATCCAGATTTTATAAAGAACCCTACAAATAAAAATTTAAAAAACAATCTAATTAAAAATGGGCAAAAACTTGAACAATTTAAAAATGAAGATACATAAATAACCAATAAGCACAGGAAAATATGATTAACATGATCAGCCATCAGGGAAATGCCAGTTAAAACCACAATGGGCTACCACTTGAAGCCAACTAGACCAGCTCAAATGAACAGGATAGATAAAACCAGTATTGACAAGAATGGGGCAGAACTGCAACTCTCATACATTGCTAGTGGGGGTATAAAATGATACAAACTCCAGAAATCATTTTGATAGTTTCTTAAGAGACTTAGCATGATTAGAAATATCTTCTAACTTAGCAATTCCACTTAAGTATTTATCTCAGGGCATAGAATTCCCACAGCAGCTTTTAACAAAATAGCAAAAACTGGAAACAATCCTAATGTGCATCAAGAGAAGAATAGATAGATCGTGGTATAATCATGCACAGAACTATTACCCAAAAATTTTAAATAACCACTGATGCACATAACAACATGAATTAATCTCAAAAACATATTGAATGAAATAAGCCAGATCTTAAGAGTATAGAGTGTATAATTACATTTATCTGAAGTTCAGTAAGAGACAAAAACTAATTGGTGGTGCTAGATACCAGAGCAGTGGTTGCCTGTGGGGATGGGAGCTGAATAGAAGCAGCATGAGGGGACTTTTTTATTCTGTATCTTGACTGCCTGATTAGCATGATAGATACACTGTACATACAACTGTCAAAATTCATTGACTTGTACACGTAAGATTGAGAGCATTTCTATGTAAAGTTCACCTCAAATTATCTACAAAAAATTAAATTCCTTAAATTAAAAAAAAATTATTCCTTAGACTGTTAATTGACTTTCAGATCACTCACTTAAAAATGATTAAATCTCCAGGCCCATGTACAAATATTTGCCCCATAATATAATTGAATTACAGTTAATTTGCCCCATAATATAATTGAATAATAGTAATTGTAATACTCAACAACTTGGATTTATCCTATGTACCAATTTTATTTATAAATGAATTGTTCCATTTATTTATTATTGCCTCCCATAGTGTTTTTTAACTTCTACAAAGTTTTTATATAGGATTTTTCCTAATTTTATTTTACTTTTCCCATTTTTTAATAAATGAGATTTACTACTGGCATTTAATTGAATTTATAGTACTTTAGAAATGATTAGAAAACTGAGTGCTGTTTGGAAGATTTAATACCAAGTCATCAAACATTGTGCATATCAAGTTCTTCCCCATAGAAGGTGATTTCACATAGAAAGGTAAAAGTATGGTTGCAAAAGGTTTTCTTGTGGCTGTGCTGGGGCTCCATGCCTTGTGGTTACACTGTCTACAAGGTCTTGATCCTTGCAGATCTAAACCTCTTTTTTAGTGGAATTGGGGGAAGGTGGTATCCAAGACAAAGGAAAATTTTTATTAACTTCTGCTTTAAATTGAACATTTTAATTAGGTTCCAGAACAAAAACCTATGGAATAATGAATAAAATCTACAAGGTATATACTACATAGTGACTAGTTGTAAATTTTCTATTATAGAAGAAATGTCCATTATGATATACTACTGAGAAAAACAAAAGCACACTCTGGATTAACTTCTAATTATAAATTAAGCATCTAAGACTGAGAAGCATCCCTTAGAGTCACACAGGGTTTTAGCATGTAACCTCCAGACCCTCACCCTGACCTCTGTTAACCTGAGCTGGCACCTTCTACCTGGTTCCTTCAGAGCTCCCCCCATCTACCTATACAGTCTGTCTCTGCCTCCACTCCCCAGCATCCTTCCAGTGCCCTGAGACTCTAATCCTGCCTTCCATGAGTAAGCACCACACATCTAACCACCCAAGATCAGCAAGGGATGGGTAGTTAGTCCCAGCTCACTTTAAAAAGGTATGCTTTGATATATACAATGGAATATTACTCAGCCATAAAAAAGAATGAAATTTGGTCATTTGTGACAACATGGATGAACCTAGAAGGAATTATGCTAAGTGAAAGAAGTCAAACAGAAAAAGACAAATATCATGTGATTTCATTTACCTATGAAATCTAAAAAACAGAACAAATGAGCAAACAAACAGAAATAGACTCATAAATACAGAGAACTGGTGGTTGCCAGATGGGAGAGGGAAGGGATGGGGAATGAGTGAAATAGATGAAGGGGATTAAGAGATACAAACTTTCAGTTATAAAATAAGTCACAGGGACAACAAATACAGCATAGGGAATACAGTCAATAATATAATAACTGTAGTAACAGATGGTACCTACACTTACTGTGGTGAGCATTTTGTGATATATATAACTGTCAGATCAGCACACTGTACACCTGAAACTAATAGAATATTGTATGTCAACTATAATTTTTAATAAAGGTATATTTTGGAAAGAACAGTAGGGGTGGGTATTCTAATCTAAATGATACATGCATTAAAAAGAAAACAAACTTCATCAGCTCAGAAGAAAATTAATTTGGGGGACTGGCAATCTCATCATTAAGGGGTAATTGTGTTCACACATGGCATTGCCTAGCAACAGAAGGAGCAGGCAAATCCCAGCATTGGGGTGTAATGAATCACTCACTGCCTACTGCTCACAAACTCACAAATGGTAATTTGACGGGAGGATAGTCACTTCTGGGTCAATCTCCAACAAGACTTCAGAGAATTCTGCAGCTCAAACAGAGGGAAGCAGCGGTATTTCACCAATAGCCAGGTTCCAGAACAAAGAAGACTATTCCTACTTATTCAGTTGAATGTATGCTTTTGTTTCAAAATAAGACAAACCAAAGGTGGTTTTGAGAGCCTTGTTTTTTTATGACATTTTGTTTTGGCTATGCTGTACCTTCTCCAGCTTCAGATACAGTTAATGAACGTCACAAATACCAGAAGGTAAATATGACAAACAAGCAAAGGGGGTAATCATGGTTGAACTAATCACTTTAGAAGACCTCAAAGAGACAGCCCAGTCTGCCCTAGGCTCTGCACGCCACTCTAAGCTCAGTGTTTCTGAGTCAAGGTATAAAAAGAGCCCACGTACGAGCGAGATCTGTGTCTAGATCGTCTGTTGTTGGGGTCCGCCTGGTTTTTCTCCTTTTGTCTCCTTAAAACAGCTTCCCACTGTGGCGCTGAATCAACCATGTCGTTCTCCTGCCGTGTTCTGAAAACAAAGACCATTCATCTAAAGTTAACATCCACACATGTGATGCTCTGTTTTTCTGTTCATCCTACACTTGCTTTTAAAAGTCATGAAGAAGTTATCAAGTAAGTTATTTCTAAGTTACTAAGAAATGAAAATTTAACAAGAAGCAATTTTATCATGACCACTTGAAGGAAGGAATGTATTAACTGGATTAATAAATCTGTAAGTAGATAAGTATATATACACATATATAAGTATATGTTATAATATTTATATATAAATATATAAGTATATATTAGTTTCAGACTTTTATTTTTGGCTTAAGATTTACGAGGGAAAAGACGTGTCACACAAAAATTTGTTTAAAACATTTAGGTTTTCACTGACGAAAATGGTGTCTGCTATACGGCCATCTCACATTATGAAACAAAATCATTTTAATGTATTAATTAAAGTAGCAATGAAAAATTTTACTTTGAAATGCTCTTAAAAATTCATATTAATTGTCAAAAGTTTTCATGGATAATAAATGCAGATATAATTCCTATTTTTTAAGACAGAAAACTAGAAGTGCAAAACATTAAGCATGGTAGCATGGCGCCTTAGCAGCTGAGTAGGCATACACCATTCTGATTATGGCTGCTCACATGGTGAAGAGGCAAAGAGGATGCATTCTCATCGTGGTCAGGGGCCCCGCAGGGAATGTCAATAAGGGAAAGGGAATCTAGGGCCAGGGGAACTGGGGTACATATATGCACCCCCCATGTGAGATCGCAGGCCAGTATTACCAAATCCTCTCATTTTTCAAAAGATAATGTCCCCCAGTTCTAAACTTTTAAAGTGAACTCATCCAATTTTTAAGTATTGGGAACCAATTCTAAGTGGTAAGATATTGTTTGAACCTAACAAAACCCATCCATGGACCACCGTGCAGAAGTTTTGAAGTTCTGTTCTATCAAGCCTACTAACAAGGAAGAGGGTTGCAGGGAAAAGGAAGGGAAGAGCAGGGGAGGCAAGCGCTTAATTACTGTGCAAATACTGTCTGGATGCACTGCAACAGTACTGTGAAGTCATGAGTATTCCTTGCAAAAACCAAACGCTTATTTGAGTATTCAAGTTTTAATTTATGTCAGTTCCTCAGAAAGCCGCTCTGGAGGGTTCACGTCATGAGCTGATGCTCCCAGCATGGAACTGCAAGGCAGTCATCCCAGTACTGGGAATGCATGAGCAAAACTGCTTCAAAATAAAAATGAAGTTTGGAATCATTTCTCTCTCTGAACAGATGTCACTCGGTTGCCCTGTTACAGCACTTGGTTTAGACATGGGGGTGGATATCTGGATGTGTTTATACAAGCAATCAGTAAACAAGTGACAAATGTTCATTTCACATATAGCTTAAACTAAGACAATATGAAGCAAATTCAAGTTAAAAAGAACAGTACCTCCTGAGGAAGAAACTGTTTAATAATAAATCTCCAGGGATTAAAGAGGAATTGTATTAAGCAAGAAGTTATATGTGACACACTTCAAGCCTTTGAACTGTATTTCCTTACTAATACTTTCATTTCTAACAGGTTCTTATTAAAAATTAACAGGATATGGTCATGATATGTCACAGATTCAAGAATATAACTCACTTAGGGTGGAGCCAAGATGGCAATGTGAGTAGAGCAGCGGAAATCTCCTCCCAAAACCACATCTATTTATAACAAAGACAACTCTTCCTAGAATAGAGACCAGAGGACACAGGACAACATCCAGACCACATCCACACCTGCGAGAACCCAGCGCATCTCGAAGGGGGTAAGATACAAACCCCAGCCCGGCGGGTCCCGAGCGCCCCTCCCCCCAGCTCCCAGCAGGAGGAAAGGAGTCAGCAGGGAGGGAGAGGGAGCCCAGGACTGCTGAGCACCCAGCCCCAGCCATCCGTACCAGAGTGCACACAAAGTGCATGCGTGGGCACCTGGATACTAGGGAAACAGGGCGGCAGGACCAGTGAGCGGGTGCCTGAGGCCGGCGTCCGGGGACAAAGAAAAGCAAGCAGCTTTTTTTTTCTTTTTTTTTTGCGAGTGCTTTTTGGAAGTCTTAAAGGCACAGGGACCCCAAAACGGGACGGAAGCATCCTGGGACACTTAGTCCAGAAGCAGGGAATCGGGGGAACTCTGGGCACTCTAACCCCCTGGGCAGCAAGGAGCACGGAGGCCCCTTACGGAGATAAAGAGCCTCCCGGCCACTCCCCCTCCAATGCGGCTCCACCATTATGGAGAAGCAGCCAGAACCAGGCCACGCCCACAGAAAAAGTGGAGGTAAACTCCATAGCAGCCCGGCAGGAAGCAGAAGCCCTGTCTGGGCACATCTGCCCAGCACAAGCCACTAGAGGTCGCTATTCTCACAGGAGAGGAAGGCCACAAACCAACAAGAAGGAAAGTTCTTCCAGCGGTCACTTGTGGCAGCTCTGCAAACTATCTCTATCACCATGAAAAGGCAAAACTACAGGCAGACAAAGATCACAGTGACAACACCTGAGAAGGAGACAGACCTAACCAGTCTTCCTGAAAAAGAATTCAAAATAAAAATCATAAACATGCTGACGGATGCAGAGAAATATACAAGAGCTAAGGGATGAAGTCCACTGGGAGATCACAGATGCCAGGAAGGAGATCACAGAAGTGAACCAAACTCTGGAAGGATTTATGAGCAGAATGGATAAGATGCAAGAGGCCATTGAGGGAATAGAAACCAGAGAACACAAACGCATAGAAGCTGACATAGAGAGAGATAAAAGGATCTCCAGGAATGAAACAATATTAAGAGAACTGTGTGACTAATCCAAAAGGAACAATATCTGTATTATAGGGGTACCAGAAGAAGAAGAGAGAGAAATAGGGAAAGAAAGTGTCTTTGAAGAAATAACTGCTGAAAACTTCCCCAAACTGGGGGAGGAAATAATCAAACAGACCACGGAAATACACAGAACTCCCAACAGAAAGGACCCAAGGAGGACAACACCAAGACACATAATAATTAAAATGGCAAAGATCAAGGACAAGGAAAGAGTTTTGAAGGCAGCTAGGGAGAAAAAGGTCACCTATAAAGGAAAACCCATCAGGCTATCATCAGACTTCTCGACAGAAATCTTACAGGCCAGAAGAGAATGGCATGATATATTTAATACAATGAAACAGAAGGGCCTTGAACCAAGGATACTGTATCCAGCACGACTATCATTTAAATATGATGGAGGGATTAAACAATTCCCAGACAAGCAAAAGCTGAGGGAATTTGCCTCCCACAAACCACCTCTACAGGGCATCTTACAGGGACTGCTCTAGATGGGAGCACTCCTAAAAAGAGCACAGAACAAAACACCCAACATATGAAGAATGGAGGAGGAGGAATAAGAAGGGAGAGAAGAAAAGAATCTCCAGACAGTGTATATAACAGCTCAATAAGCGAGCTAAGTTAGGCAGTAAGATACTAAAGAAGCTAACCTTGAACCTTTGGTAACCACGAATCTAAAGCCTGCAATGGCAATAAGTACATATCTCTCAATAGTCACCCTAAATGTAAATGGACTTAATGCACCAATCAAAAGACATAGAGTAATAGAATGGATAAAAAAGCAAGACCCATCTATATGCTGCTTACAAGAAACTCACCTTAAACCCAAAGATAAGCATAGACTAAAAGTCAAGGGATGGAAAAACATATTTCAGGCAAACAACAGTGAGAAGAAAGCAGGGGTTGCAGTACTAATATCAGACAAAATAGACTTCAAAACAAAGAAAGTAACAAGAGATAAAGAAGGCCACTACATAATGATAAAGGGCTCAGTCCAACAAGAGGATATAACCATTCTAAATATATATGCACCCAATACAGGAGCACCAGCATATGTGAAGCAAATACTAACAGAACTAAAGAGGGAAATAGACTGCAATGCATTCATTGTAGGAGACTTCAACACACCACTCACCCCAAAGGATAGATCCACCGGGCAGAAAATAAGTAAAGACACACAGGCACTGAACAACACACTAGAACAGATGGACCTAATAGACATCTATAGAACTTTACATCCAAAAGCAACAGGATATACATTCTTCTCAAGTGCACATGGAACATTCTCCAGAATAGACCACATACTAGCTCACAAAAAGAGCCTCAGTAAATTCCACAATATTGAAATTCTACCAACCAATTTTTCAGACCACAAAGGTATGAAAGTAGAAATAAATTCTACAAAGAAAACAAAAAGGCTCACAAACACATGGAGGCTTAACAACATGCTACTAAATAATCAATGGATCAATGAACAAATCAAAATAGAGATCAAGGAATATATAGAAACAAATGACAACAACAACACTAAGCCCCAACTTCTGTGGGATGCAGCGAAAGCAGTCTTAAGAGGAAAGTATATAGCAATCCAGGCACACTTGAAGAAGGAAGAACAATCCCAAATGAATAGTCTAACATCACAATTATTAAAACTGGAAAAAGAAGAACAAATGAGGCCTAAAGTCAGCAGAAGGAGGGACATAATAAAGATCAGAGAAGAAATAAACAAAATTGAGAAGAATAAAACAATAGCAAAAATCAACGAAACCAAGAGCTGGTTCTTTGAGAAAATAAACAAAATAGATAAGCCTCTAGCCCAACTTATTAAGAGAAAAAGAGAGTCAACACAAATCAACATAATCAGAAATGAGAATGGAAAAATCACGACAGACTCCACAGAAATACAAAGAATTATTAAAGACTACTATGAAAACCTATATGCCAACAAGCTGGAAAACCTAGAAGAAATGGACAACTTCCTAGAAAAATACAACCTCCCAAGACTGACCAAGGAAGAAACACAAAAGTTAAACAAACCAATTACAAGCAAAGAAATTGAAACAGTAATCAAAAAACTACCCAAGAACAAAACCCCGGGGCCGGACGGATTTACCTCGGAATTTTATCAGACACACAGAGAAGACATAATACCCATTCTCCTTAAAGTGTTCCACAAA